ATATATTTATATATGATATATTTAAAGTTATAAAGAATCTCTCCTTTTCTTCATAGCTCTTTCAAGTTAAGAAGCTTCAATGATTAGATTACCTCAGTTCACTGGGCCTCTAGTATATATATATATATATATATTCAAAGTTATAAAGAATCTCTCCTTCATAGCTCTTTCAAGTTAAGAAGCTTCAATCATTAGATTACCTCAGTTTCTCTTAGAGCAATGGTTCTCAACCTGGGGGTCGCGACCCCTTTGGGGGTCGAACGACCCTTTCACAGGGGTCGCCTAAGATCATCAGAAAACAAATGTGTAACAATGAAAATATATCCTGCATATCAGATATTTACATTACAATCCATAACAGTAGCAAAATTACAGTTATGAAGTAGCAACGAAAATAATTTTATGGTTGGGGGTCACCACAACATGAGGAACTGTATTAAAGGGTTGCGGCATTAGGAAGGTTGAGAACCACTGTCTTAGAGCAACATCTAAGAGATCCTCCATAGCTGGTAGAGAAAAGATCTTAGATTTTTCAAGTTGGAAATTGTCATTTAAAGGGTTGCAATGAACTTGTGTATTTTAGGATGCAGGCTGTTCTTTAATGCCAGAAACAACATTTTGATGAATCTTTTAGTAATGTTAATGCACCTATGACTCCCTCCATTATGGTATGATGCTAAATAAAGGAATGAACAAACAAAACAAACAAAACAAATTGATCGATGCAGACAACAGATTGGTGGTTACAAGAGGGGAAGGGTTGGAGGAGAACAAAATGGGTAAAGGGGGTCAATTGTATGGTGACAGATGGAAACTGGACCTTTGGTGGTGACCATCCTATAGTGTATACAGATGTTGAATTATAATGTACCTCTGAAACTTATATAATGTTATAAACCAATGTTACCTCAATTAAAAAAAGAGTCCTTGCCATTCTGCGGATGGGGGGAAAGTGGGTATATACAAAGTAACAGTGGACATTAAATGATAGTAAATTTTATTATGAAATGTCATTATAGAATATCTGTAGATGGGGGTCCTTTAAATTAGTCTCTCTACTTATGTATGTTTTTGATATTTTTCTTAATATAAATTTTTATAAGTGCAAAACTTTTAAAAGAAATGATAAAAATTTATTGAAGATATTAAGAAGGACTAAAGGGAGAGATATGCCCTGTTTATAGGTCGAATGACTCAATAGTGTAAAAATAAATGCTAGTTCTCCTCCAGTTCAGCCCCAGTAGAACTGGCCCCAGTGATTTCTGCAAGTTTTGCTAGCATTCCCGTGGGGACTTCCTGTCCCAGGCGGCAGTTCTGCTACCCAGCCTCCTCCTCACTGGGCACAGCTTCTCAGGGCAACTAGGGAACCTCACCATCCAGTTGGCTGCAACCACACTCTCCCAGTGAGGCCTCCTTCCAAGTTGGTTTGTTTCTTAGATATTCTGCTTCAGCCCTTGGGTGTTCTTTTGAGTTCTCTTTTATATCCTTTTAGTTGCGAATTCCTTATAAGTAGTTAATAATTTTTTATATTATGTAGTCCCTGTTTACATTGCTATGTGGTTTGTGTCTCCTAAGTGGGTCTGATTGATACACTAATAAAAGTAAAATTGAACTTGTACATATGTAATATGTGTGACCAGCTATTGTGTGTGTGTGTGTGTGTGTGTGTGTGAGAGAGAGAGAGAGAGAGAGAGAGAGAGAGAGAGAGAGAGAGAAACTTGCACGTGTGTGGCAAGTACAAATACCACAATATTCATAGCAATGTTGTTTAGCACAATCTAAAACAGAGCAAATCCAACAGGAGACAGCTTGGCTGTGCAATGGGAGAGAAAGAGAAAAGTCAAAGGTATCTCCAAGGTTTCTCACGGGAACAACTGGAAGATAAGAGTTGCCATCTCTTGAGATAGGCAAGCCTGACAGTTGAAGATAGTATCAGAAACTGGTTTTAGACGTGTTATGAGGCATCCAAATGGAGGTGTCAAGCAGGCAGTTGGATATGCAAGTCTGGAGGACTAGCCTGGGTTGTGCATTTGGGGGAGTCCTCAGCATACAGAGTCCCCACAGTCAAGAGGTTGGGTAATAGTACAGACAAGTGTGACTGGGGGCACTTCTTGGATGACTGCTGTAGTCTCCCTCCCCTGCCTCAGACGTCACGTCCATCCTCTACCTCCACTGCCCCAAGGTCATCTTTCAGCATCTAGTGACCTTGTGAAAGCGTAATTCAGATGCTGGGACTTCATTGTCTCATCCTCTCCAATGGCTTCCTGCTGCTTCTGGACGGAAGCCCCACTCCTCCGCAGAGGCTCTGGCTGCTGTTCCCCCGCCCCCCCCCCCTCTCCTGTGCACCGCCGCGCTCTCTCCTGTGCTCTGCAGACCAGCCTCAGACTCATGGACCTCTCCCACTTCCCTGCATCTGCACTAGCTGCCCGGCCTGCGGGAGGGGCACCCTCATCTTTCCGGGTTCCTTGTTTTCATTCAAATTTCAGCTCCAAGGGCCACTCTACCGCATTCCTTCCTGAACACTCTCTCTAGCCCAATGGTCGGCAAACCGAGGCTCACGAACCACATGCGGCCCTTTGGCCTCTTGAGTGTGGCTCTTCTACAAAATACCACGTGCGGGCGCGCACGTACAGTGCGATTGAAACTTCGTGGCCCATGCGCAGAAGTCGGTTTTCGGAAAGGAGATAGACGAAACAAGTATACAAGACGAGTGTGGATGGGAGAGTTGGAAGGGGTCGACCTCAGCAAACGTACCTCAATCAGATTGAGGACGTTTTTAGCAAAGGCCAGCTTAGGAGTACCCTAA